AAAAAAAAAAAAAAATAAGGAGGTCTCTGAGTCGCTACATGCATCACTCCGTCATTAAGAGGCAGTACAGTCAGAAATTCACAACCTGGCAAGAAACAGAAAAACTAAGCCTAAGCTTACATAAAACTCAACAACATTTAAATAATTGAAAATCAAGACGTTGTACACAGTTTGAGTGATAAAACATACCACTTAAACAATAAACTTACCTTTCTCCGTTTTCCTCGGGTCGGCAGGACGTTTCAGTGAAGTTGAAAATACGTTTCCTCCTCCAAAAAAGACTCAATTGTAGCATTTTGTAAATTGAAAATTTCCCATCCCAGCCGATGTACTTTGCTTTAGTTGAGTTCTTTTTGCGACGCACTCAGCAATGTGCGCATATACAAAAAATCTTGTCAACGACCCCTATATGTGCTATAGGCTAAGACAAAGACATTACACTTTGTAAACCTTTCCATGCCATCTTGAACGAACGATCGAAGGAGGATGGCTTTGGCAGCCATCTTTGTTTACTCACTACTCACTTGCGCACGGTGAGGAGACTGAACACTACAAAATCTAACAGCCAATCAGACAAAAGTCTCCTTTGTTTTGCATCACTAATGTACTTCCGCTTACGAATTGCTGACGTGTATCGATATAATCTAGGTGAACGATTCACTAGCTTACTACAACCACAGAGTCGAAAATACTCGTAAAAGAATGGCATTGCTAGCAGGGAAAATAGACCTGTCCAAAGTACAAATTAGACCCATTCAGTCAGGCCTAAACAAGTATAACATCGACATTAAGGAGAACCATGGGCTCAACAGTAAGACCGGATTCTGGTGGCTTAGATTTACTTTTGACTATAGGCTCGAAGAGAAAATCGAGGTGCGTTTAACGAACTATAAGAAAATTTCCACCGAACGTACCTTTTTGACGATGGAAATAGTGAAGTGTGACTACCTGAAAATAAAATGTAAGGACGAAATGGAGTCGTTCGACGTGGAGGAAGAGCTAGCAAATTTGTCCGAGCTTTGTCGAGTAAACGAGAGCGTCGGGAGCCCCGAGAAGCTTCGTAAGTACCTGGAAGACAACATCTTGCCTCTTGTGATGAAAAAGATCAAGTACACAAAATTCAACCCGCAATTCAGCTTCTTTTTGAGCCACAAATCAAAGGACAAGCCACTGATGGAAACCTTCCGCGATGGGCTGAAATTTGTAGGTTATCAAACATGGCTAGATAAGGATGACATGCCAATAGCGGCTAGTCTGCAAGGAGCTTTGAAAGTCGCCATCGAAAAATGCGACTGTTTCATAGTGTGGCTAAATGAGGAGTACTTCGAGAGCAACTACTGTCAAGCGGAACTACTATATGCAAGAAAACTTGGAAAAATTATTCTTCCATTCGGTGTTTACAGCAAAATTAAGGATCTTTTGAAGGGAGATTTTGAATTCTTAGTCGATCTTCACTTATACGATCCTTCAACGTCATCCTTCTTTGAGGTGCTTCGGCGAATCGACGAGGCACTGTTTAACTTTGAAATGCTAACTATATAGAAGAAGTAGAATTCTTACTGTTCTACGAATTCAAAGCAAATCGCTTGTCGTTAGAAGAAAAACCATGATCCACGCATCGCAGTAATTAAAATACTGCACGTGTTCTGAGAGGTTTTAACCTTTTCTGTAATTTCTGTGCGTTAAAACTGATTAAACCAATCTTTTTTAACTTTGTAATTGTAAGAACACAAGCCTGTTCGCTTGAATTTACTTGACTGAAACTTGTACCTTGAGTTCAGCTGTTGATTTTGTTTAAATTGCTATTTAGGTATTCAGTATATGACTAATTCTGCGGAACTCTAATTATGGGAGGTCTTCCTAGCTGTCCATCAAATTACGCCTGACAAAGACATCAATAAAGCAATTGAACTATACAACTTCGGCCCAAATATCAGGAAATGGATATCCATTCTTTACAACAATGTTGAAAGTGGCGTGCTGAATGCTGGATTTATGACCAACTATTTCCAAGTTTCTCGTGGCGTCCGTCAAGGGTGCCCTCTGAGCCCTCTATTGTTTGTTCTATCAGTTGAATTGTTAGCCCTCAAAATACGCCAAGATCAACTCTGCTGGGGCATTCCCCTTCCGGATGGACAAAATGCCAAGATTTCACAGTTCGCGGATGATACAACGCTAATTCTTGAAGATACCATATCTCTTAGAACTGGCTATGAATATAGTTAATTCTTTTGGAGCACTGTCTGGGTTGCAATTAAATAAAAAGAAAACTAAAGCCATGTGGATTGGTTCGTCAAGCAAAAACAAGTCAATGCCTTTAGAATTCGAGTGCCCAAAAGAACCTATTAAATTTTTGGGTACCTTCCTCTCCCACGACGCAGTTAGCAATAATAAAAATAATTTCTTTATTAAAATAAGGAAAATGGAAACCAAGCTTAATATATGGTTGTCGCGTGATCTGACTCTCTTTGGAAGAACAATGCTTGCAAAATCTCTAGGT